TAAAATACTTAGATTTCGGGAGAGGCCGTTTAGCGAGTTTCACGGCCATTTCCCAAAATAACAGCGTGTTAGTCTCTTTAGGCGCGTACTTTAAATAATATTACCTTCTTAAACCCGGGTGCACATTTATGCGACCCAAATCCAAATCTCAACGAAGTCAAAATATGTCGATAATTACGGGTACATTGATTGTGACGTGGTTCAAGATGCATTTCCATGACGTTGCAATTCTTTTTTTAAATGAATGAGACGAGCCTCGACAAACAAAATCCCAAGCTGCGGGGCCCTCTATACGTGTTGGTAAAATTACTTAGACTTCGGAATGGGCCGTTTAGCAAAATTTCACGGCCCTACCCAAAATAATGATACGCTGGTCGCTTTAGGCACGTATTTAATAAATGTTATCTTCTTAAACTCGGGTGCACATTTATGTGACCCAAATCCAAATCTCAACAGAGTTGAAACATGTCAATAACCACGGGTGCATTGATGCGACGTGGTTCGAGATATATTTTCACGATGTTGCAATTCTCGGCAAAAAATAATAATAATAAAAGCGGTACACAGTTAAAATTTGCACATAGGTTCAACATGTATTAAAACCAGATAAATAAGCCGAATATGACAGTTGAGCGACCGTGCTAGAACCACGGAACTCGGGAATGCCTAACACCTTCTCCCAGGTTAACAGAATTCCTTACTTTGATTTCTGGTTCGCGGACTGTAATACAGAGTCAATCTTTTCCTCGATTCGGGATTCAACCGGTGACTAGGGACACCATAAATCTCCCAAGTGGCGACTCTGAATTAAATAATAAATCCCGTTTCAATTGTCCTTTAATTGGAAAAACTCCTTCTGCGCCCCCAGCTGACGCGGGTGAAAAAAGAAGGTGTGACACCTGTGAGTTCTATGCATTAATTGATGAATCTAAACCAAGCAAATGGCACCACAGATAGTATAAGTATGAAAATATTTCAAATTCTACATATGCACAAGCTATGTCCACCTTTTTAGTTCCATCAGACGCTGTCAAAATATCCTTCAAGTTTAACGTCTTAAATTCAGCATGTTCACTCAACATTTTCCTGAAATCTTTATTCAAACCTGATAATGAAACATTGAGCAAAGTCAGCTGTAACTACCATAAACAACTGAAAATTTAGAAAGTTATAGGTAAACACTGCAAAGTGCATATAAAGGAAGATCCAAGCGAAATATTCAGAACCCTTTTCTTTCCAAATGCAATAAAATCATCAACACTTTCAGCACAGAAATTTTGACAGCAAGACTAAATGCATGGGAAAGCAAATAAACCTTCTAGTTCCTCATTGCATTGCGCCCAAATATTAATATTATTCCCGTAAAGACGTTTCCACAACATTAGAGCCTGAGCAGGCTTATAACCATGTGACTGAACCCATTTCTGTTAAACAGGAAAGCAAAGCACCATTAGTAACCATAGTTGCATTCAACAGTAGAATCAATGTCAAAATTCTGAAACAAGATTGGTTCTTAAACCAAGAACAGGATAAGACATTCTCAATCTTGGAACTTTCCTCAAAAATCCACAAGGTTAACTTAAAATAAACGGAAGGAACAACCGAACTACAAATACCATGAGACAGAGTTTAATCTCAAAAACGCTAAACAAGTTTGAACCTTTAAGCAGTAAATACTAAAGAGGACTAAATCCCTATCAAGATTGCAACTTTCCTGAAATTTCAATGAAATAAAACAACCCTAATACACGTACCATGAGACAAAGCTTAATCTCAAGAACACAAAACAAGTTTGAGTCCTTAAGCCGTAAACAAGACTAAATCACTATCAAGATTGCAATTTTTAACTTTCCTCAAACATTCTTATTTTTTTTATAACCGAGGGTACGGTTCGAAGCTCGTCGGATAATTGGCCCATCCCTCTACCTTCTCCGGTTAAATACTAGGCTTTGGTTTGTGGCAGGTGATGTATGTCTAACCCACACATCACAAGTTGCGCTCTTACCACTAGAGAAAAGCTTTGGTGCCAAAACTTTCCTCAATTACAAACCTGGATAACTAAAATATACACCAGGACCTCACCAACCGAAATACACTTACCATGTGAGTGACCCTAATTTAACAAAATCAAAAAAAAAAAGTTTTAATCTTCAACGTATGTCCTAATGACAAAACTTTTGTTGCTTTGTTATCCCTGAGCTGCATAATATTCCCTGCAATGAACAGTAGCGACACAACAGTTCACCGGCCATAAATTCATATTCCGGCAGTGGAAATTCACCAAATTGGTCTCAAAAGAACCCCCTTCTCTTTGCGAACAATCCCCAGTTGGTTTCATCCTCAAATCAATAGCCAGTTTTTCCAGATCTTAATTTTTCATTTAGCGATTACTGTAGCGTGCAGAAATTTTATTAAATTCATCTGCTTCTTCACGTCAATGGAGCCTTGAAAATCTTCATGAATTAATATGAAGTTTACTGTAGATCGCAGGATTTGTGTTTTGAGCAGCCATGGCTGCCATCGTCTCTCCCCAACTTCCAACTGTGGGAGAGCCCAATCCAAATCGTAGTGAGCATATCCCCAACAACAAGATTCAACAAACTTACGCCTCTCAATTACTATGGGCAGCTTTTTCTATCAACTAGAAACAATGATGAATTTATCCAAGCAAAAGTGATCAAATCTAAATTTTGGTTACAACAACGTGAAGAGGATGACGAATACGAGGATTGAGGTGATTCATCTGAAGAAGCTGATCAGGAGGTCGATCAAGAGAGTGCAGGTGAAGATCTTGACTGTC